CTGGCGTTCCGCAGACGCTGGCGTCGACGCTCTCGGTAGCACCGTCGAGGGCGCAAGTGTCGCCAGAGCAGCATCGCACGCGTCGTCCTCCCCGCTAGCTGCGACGGCCTTCCCCACGTCCTGCCCCGAGTCCTTCCCTACGTCCTCCTCACCCTCCCCCACCGCGTGCGCGTCGGCGTGCGCCGCGACGTCAGCGGCCGCGAACTCGGCGGCCAGCGCCAGCCTGGCCGCGACCAGCCAGAGGCCCGCGCGGGCAGCAGCAGCGGCGGCCAGAACGCAGGCGCCCGCAGCGGCGGCGCCAGCGGCGCAGGGCGCGGGGGCCCACGGGAGGGCGCGGGTCGCGCCAACGCTCCCGAAGGCGTCGGCAGCGCCCGGGCGGCAGCCGAGCCGCGCTGGCCGCGCCGACCGCCCACGGGGCGTCGGCGGCGCTGGCAGCGGCGGCCGAAGGGGCGCCGGCCGCGCCGGCGGCGCCAGCGCCGGCGGCGCCAGCAGGACGGCACATTCGGGCCGCGCTGACATGCCCAGGGGCGTCGGCAGCGCCCGGGGCGCCCGCGGGGGCGAGAGGGCGCGCCGCCCAGCCCGCGCCGACCGCCCAGGGGGCGTCGGCAGCGAGGGTCGTGGCGGCGGCGTCACCAGCCGCTCGCACCAACAAGCGCGCCGCCGAGAGCGGCGGCGCCTGTCGCGCCAGCAGCACCAGCCGCGCCGGCGGCGCCAGGGAGCCCCAGCGGGCCCGCGACGACCGGGGCGCCAGCGGCGGCGGCACCCAAGCGGCGACCGGCAGCGGCACGGGCCTGCCGCCGTCGCCGCGCCGCCGCGGTCTCCATCATGCCAGGGCCGGAGCACCGCACCTGGCCAAGGGCGTGCTCGAGCCCACACAGCTTGAGCCAGAGGCTACGGACACACACACACACACACACACACACACACACACACACACACACACACACACACACACACACACACACACACACACACACACATGCACACACACACACACACACATGCACACACACATGCACACACACACACACTCACTAAAGCACCTGGTCCTAGTGCACCTGCTCCCGCTTTCGCCACTGGTGGCGAAAAACAAGCGCCAGTGTTCTGCCACGGGGACCATTGGTGGATCGCGTGTGAGGGTGTACCGAAACGGGCTGAAATACGCATGCGAACTTTCCCACCGAAGCCGTATGTGGAGCTCCCGTGTGAGGCCGCGATCCTCGTGAGCGGTGCGCTGAGATCGGCGGCGCCGCCATGCGGACCAGCCACTGGGGCCTCAGATGGAGAGCTCCCTGCAGGGGCGCTTTTCGTGCGAGGGCGACCGCAGGTGTAACTCTATATGTGCCAAGTTGAAAGCACGTTGCTGGGAATGCCCGCAGCAACAGTGCAGCGGCCCAGACCTCCGACGCCATGAGTTTGTTCGCGGCGTGGCTCCCGGGAGGTCGGGACCGCTTCCCCGGGAGCGCCTGTCTTCCCAACGCTTTTTGGCGGCCCCGCGTTCTGACGAGGGCGGCCAAGGCCGAGAATCACCAAAAACCGCTGGTCGTGCTTTTTTTGTCTGCACAAGGAGCGGATGTCTGAACTCTTCAATCCGAGGCTCCAGGGGTCCCGACCACTGCCCCGAGGATGGTTCTTTCGTCCCGGATCCGCTTCTGATGGCCCGAAGATGCCCCCAGAGGCCGAAACTGGAAAAGAATCGCAAGCTGAAAATGCCATGCTTTCGGAGGTCCGGGGATGCCCGCAGAAGCGAGCAGCGAAAGTGCGCTCTGGCCAGCACTTCGGGGCGCATTCAGCCGTGGGGACGAGGACCTCCCAGGAGGTCCAAAAAGGTAAAACCGAGAAAAAGGTAGCGGTATCGGTACCCATCGGTCGGAAGGAGTAGGTAGAAACATGAAGCAGGAAGGCGTTGAAAGTAGATCGGGTTCCGTCCGCCCCCCAAAGGGGACGGCAAAGGTGAAGCTGCTCGATCCTTGAAGTGGGAAGGCGCTTGAAGTCTATTGTAGCCTGGGAATCCAGAACTACCCACTTTCAGCGACCGATGGGTACAGTGGAGGCCTGTCCACAAGAGACTATCCACAATAACGCCAACCCCGAGACCCCAGGACGTCCATTGATGTTTGGCGTGGGAACGTCGCACTTCCCATCGCAAAACAATCGAAGCCCAAGAAACCCAGGGCACCCTGGAGGGAAGCAGGGTGTTTCTTGGCATGTGCCTCCACTGTACCTGCTCCTCTTCTGAGCCGTTCTCTGTTGGCGGCCCTGGGTCCTGGTCAAGGTCCCAGGATGCCGGATTAAAAACGCCGAGCCCCTCCCGTCGTGAGTTCCTGGAGCTCCGACGCGGCCAAACAACAAAACAAGCATCGCGAACATAACTAACCAGGGCTGGACCTAAACGCTGTTTCTCGTTTCGTTCTCGTTCTGTGTTTCGTTTTGCTCTACCTGCTTTCCTGCACCTCCCTCCCAAAACGAAAAACAAAACGCAGCCGAAGTCCCGCAAAACAGCGTTTAGGTCCAGCCCTGTCACCAACGACTACTGCCCCAGACCCCATCTTCTGGCTGCCTTCTATCGAGACCCATCGATCCGTGATGGCCCCCGGGCCCGACGCTGCGCGAGAACGCCCGGGGATTGAACAGAACGGCAACGCCCCGATCTCAGGGGAGGCCTGGTTTCCTTTCGGTCGGACATGTCCCCCCACAGGTGGATCTTGGGCGAAAATTTATCCCAGTGCGACCCTACCTAGGAGTTGGAGCCCCTAGGAAAGCAGCATTAGTAGTAACAGTAAAGCTAAGCTAAAGCTAAGCTAAAGCTAAGCTAAAGCTAAGCTAAAGCTAAGCTGAAGCTAAGCTGAAGCTAAGCTAAGGCTAAGCTAAGATAAAGCTAAAGCTAAGCTAAAGCTAAGCTCAAGCTGAGCTAAAGCTAAGCTTAAGCTAAGCTGAAGCTAAGCTAAAGCTTAGCTAAAGCTAAAGCTAAGCTAAAGCTAAGCTAAAGCTAAGCTACAGCTAAGCTAAAACTAAGCTAAAGCTAAGCTGGAGCTAAGCGAAAGCTAAGCTAAAGCTAAACTAAAGCTAAAGCTAAGCTAAAGCTAAGCTGAAGCTAAAGCTAATCTGAAGCTAAGATAAAGCTAAAGCTAAGCTAAAGCTAAGCTCAAGCTAAGCTAAAGCTAAGCTAAAGCTAAGCTGAAGCTAAGCTGAAGCTAAGCTAAGGCTAAGCTAAGGCTAAGCTGAAGCTAAGCTGAAGCTAAGCTTAAGCTAAGCTGAAGCTAAGCTTAAGCTAAGCTGAAGCTAAGCTAAAGCTAAGCTAAAGCTAAAGCTAAGCTAAAGCTAAGCTAAAGCTAAGCTACAGCTAAGCTAAAACTAAGCTAAAGCTAAGCTGGAGCTAAGCGAAAGCTAAGCTAAAGCTAAGCTAAAGCTAAAGCTAAGCTAAAGCTAAGCTGAAGCTAAAGCTAATCTGAAGCTAAGATAAAGCTAAAGCTAAGCTAAAGCTAAGCTAAAGCTAAGCTAAAGCTAAAGCTAAAGCTAAGCTAAAGCTAAGCTAAAGCTAAGCTAAAGCTAAAGCTAAAGCTAAGCTAACGCTAAGCTAAAGCTAAGCTAACGCTAAGCTAAAGCTAAACTAACACTAAGCTAAAGCTAAGCTAACACTAAGCTGATCGATAAGCTAAAGCTAAGCTAAAGCTAAGCTAAAGCTAAGCTAACACTAAGCTTAAGCTAAGCGAAAGCTAAGCTAAAGCTAAGCTGAAGCGAAAATTTATCCCAGTGCGACCCTACCTAGGAGTTGGAGCCCCTAGGAAAGCAGCATTAGTAGTAACAGTAAAGCTAAGCTAAAGCTAAGCTAAAGCTAAGCTAACGCTAAGCTAACGCTAAGCTGAAGCTAAGCTAAAGCTAAGCTGAAGCTAAGCTAAAGCTAAGCTAAAGCTAAGCTGAAGCTAAGTCAAAGCTAAGCTAACGCTAAGCTGAAGCTAAGCTAAAGCTAAGCTAAACCCAAGCTAAAACTAAGCTAAAGCTAAGCTAAAGCTAAGCTGAAGCTAAGCTGAAGCTAAGCTAACGCTAAGCTAACACTAAGCTGAAGCTAAGCTAAATCTAAGCTAAAGCTAAGCTAACACTAAGCTGAAGCTAAGCTAAAGCTAAGCTAAATCTAAGCTAAAGCTAAGCTAAAGCTAAGCTAACACTAAGCTAAAGCTAAGCTAAAGCTAAAGCTAAAGCTCAAGCTAAAGCTAAGCTAAAGCTAAAGCTAAGGCTAAAGCTCCCAGGGGACTGGGGGAACCGCGGGGCGGGGACTGGGGGAACCGCCCGGGGCGATTAGCATTGCCCCGCCCCTTTAGCTAACAGAGTAAGAACCCTTCTAGGCAGAGCCTAGGTAGGGAAATACACATACCCTACAAAATGCTCAAACTGGTAACAAGACATACTTTTAACACAGTCCCATCTTATCATTGGTTTAACTATTTTTGAATGCTCCCCTTTGCAGAAAGACGGGCCCGACTTAAAGGCTTCCTTCGTGACGAGGGCCGCCCAGTTCTGGGCGGGCTCCCCAGCCATCCCACAACACTGCGAGGCCCCCAGGAAGGCCAGCGCCCGCGGACTTGACTGCCGGGGGGCAGCGGCGAGGGCCCACACAAGCCGAGACCAGCCGACAGAACGGCTCGCCGTGGACTGCTTCGGGCTGCGAGCGAGCATGTCCCCAGGGGTCCGACGCCTTGTCTGCTTCCAAACTGACTACCTACCAGACCACCCCAACCCAACCCGAAGACTCGCATACCGCCCGAATATCTGGTGGGGGGGGGGGTACGGGTTCCACGTGTTTTTTCATTGCTCCCCGATCCCCCCCCCCTCTGGAAATGGAGGGCGAACTGAAGCCTTCGGGTTGGGGTTGGGGTGGTTTGGTGGGTGGCGACATACGGAGTCTTGCTTCTTTCGATGTCGAGCTTTTTTGTCCCCAACGAGAAGAGGTCTGGGCGAGCCGCGGGAAGCAACGCGGCCGCGGCCGCCGCCCGCTGCGGGCCTCAGTGGCAGCCGACGTCCGCGCCAGGCGCCAGCAGCCGGCGCAGCACCGCGGGGCGCGGCGCCGCGCTCATGGCCGCGAGCGCGGGGCCGACTCCGCCCCCCGCCGAGCCCACGGCGAAGCCTCGGCCCGAGGCCGGCGCGCACGAGCAGAGCCACGGCTCGGGGAGCCGGTGCCCCCAGAGGTGTGGCGGGAAGCAGAGGCGGCAACGCGCGGCGAGGGGGCTGGATTTCAGAAACATTTCCTGGACATGATCGCGCCGTCAGCAAAATCAGGGCGGGCGGTGTGGGGCCGTTTTCGGCCTCGGGGGGCCCTCGCCGGCCTTGGTGCCGTCGAAAAACGATTCAGAACGAAAAACCGATCCTGGGAAAAGGGTCGGGAATTCTAGGCACTCCATATGGACAAAAATCAAGACGTCAACCCCAAGGGCTTTTCTGGGGCTCTCAAATGGACCAGACATTTGGAGCCTAACCCTCGATGCGAAGAAAGAAGGCGGAGATGTCCGCCTCAGAAAAAAGGGGCGGATGTTTCCGCGAAGGTAGGGGCGGAAGCAGCGACGGCGAAGAAGAGCGGAAATCGACTTCAAAGGAGCCTCAAAAGTAGGGCTGTAGTTACCGCCCTGCTGTTCAGGCTCATTTGATGCCGATTTCCGCCCTACTTTGCCGTCGCTGCTTCTGTTCTTTTCAGCATTATTTGGGGTGCTCCTTTGACGTGCATTTCCTCCCTACTTTGCCGTCGCTGTTTCCGCCAGACTTGTGCGGAAATAACACTCCCGCTGTCTCTGAGGCGGAAATGTCCGCCCTAACCACAAACCCCGGATAATGAAGCATCCTCCCTTTTCCCCTTGAATCTCGTTGCCAACGGGATTAAGTGTGGTTAAATTGAAAGGGCAAGCAGGAGCCGAACTTTCTTATCCCCTCCAAAGTTCCTATCGTAGCTCTGATTGTGAGGATGTCTCAGGCGAAACACGAACCAGACATCGTAGCATCGCTATCCTTGCGGAAAAAGTAGCCTCTCGCCTGGATCCCGAATTTCATTACCCCCAAAGAATTTATTATCACCGGCATTGGGCTACTTTGTCGCATCGTGTGAGTCAGGGGTGCAATTGTGGCACCACTTTCCAATCTGAGCATCAACTGAGAGAACGGCGGATCCGGAGTCTCGGCGGCAACTCATGGGAGCCTCCCATACCATTGTGTGGGCTCTTGCGAATCGACGCTAATCGACGCGAGTCGACGCTAATCGATGCTAAATCGACGCCAATCGACGCTAAATCGGCGCTATCTCATCGACTCCTAGACGCTGATGGACGCGAATCGACGTGAAAGACGGAATTGAGAGGGTATACCAGGCTCCCATGATTTGCTACCGAACGCAATCCGGGTGGGGTCCTGTAGAGGCCTCCTAGATGGGGTCGGAGTGACTAGGCGGAATGGGAGGAGCGCGCCGCATGGCCGATACATCGGCGATGCATCGGCGATGCACCGGCGATGCATCTTCGACGTCGGCGATGCAACGGCGACGTCGACGTGAAGCAAATCGGGCTGCACATCGAGCCGCACTGGCGATGCATCTGCGATGCAGTGTGATCCTCCTACCCCATCTACTGCGACCCCATCTACGGCGCATCGACGCTAAAGACGGCATTCAAAGGGTTCGTTGATGGCTATTGGACAAAAGAAACCTTCGAGAAGGAATCCGGGGTCTGGAAGCCAGTGGAAAGCCAATCGTGGATTGGCCGTGGATATCACCACCACCCTCACCAAGGAACCCTCCAGGGTCTCAAGCCTCCTGGGCACGCTCCTCAATGAACGCCCCAGACCCCCGACGCCGTGATTTTTCCACGACGTCGACCCGCAGAGGTCGGGACCCCTTCCCCGGGACCGGCTTGCCGTCCTGAGTCGTTTTTGGCGGGCCCCGCGGCCCCGCAAAGGCCCCCGGAGGCCGAAAAGGATGAAAAGCCTCCCGTCGCGATTTTTTTTCACGACGCGAGGGGGTCTGGGCCCCCTCCCATGACGTGCCACCGAACGAAGTCCGGCTGGGGTCCTGGGCTTGAAGGGGCCCTGGGACACACAAATTCGCGGGCCCGACGGGCCAGAGGCGTGCTAAGATCTCCGGTAACTGGTTAACAATTTTTCTAGTTCGCGCGCGCGGGCCGGCCCCTGGGGGTCCCCGGACGAAAAGTACCCCGGCAAGGTCCTGGGCGGTCCGACGCCCTCCAGAGAACCCCAAGAAGGGCAGCGAGGCCGCCAAGAGCCCCCCAAGATGGTTGCAGAGTGCTCCGAGATGCCACACGCTCGCTTCAAGACGCCCAAGATGGCTCCCAGACGCCCCAACAGGCCCCCAAGAGGCGTCCCAAGAGGGCCCCAAGAGGCAAACATCGCCCCACTCCTTAAGCAAAACGTGTATTTTTAGCAGATTCGCCACTTGAGAATTCACAACTTCAAAAGCGACCCAAGAGGCCCCCAAGATCGCCCCAAGATGGCCCAAGAGGCCTCCAAGAGGGCCGAAAAAACCGCCCCAGAGGGCCCCAAGACGACCCAAGAGGCCTCCAAGACAGCCCAAGAGGCCCCCAAGACGGCTCCAAGAGGGGGTCCAGACGGGAGACCCGCACGGATACTTCGAGCCCTCGGCCCCGAGAGGCTCCCAGGAGGGCCCAAGAGACTCCCAGAGGCCCCCAAGAGGCCCTAAGATGCCCCCACGAGGCCCTCAGGAGGCCCCCACGAGGCCCTCACGAGGCCCCCAAGAGGCCCCCAAGCGGCCCCAGGAGGCCCCCCAACTGCCGCCCCAAGCACGCAAGCAAGTGCCAGCGATGCTACAATATGGGCCGGCGGAATGAGCGAAGCGATTGAATAAATACACACGACTCCCAAGATCCCCAATATCTTTTCATATTTTTGGGACTTTCGTCTTCCCGGGCCCCCCCCCACTTCTCATAGTTTCGCATATTTTCCTGGGAATCGACGATTCATTGTGTCTGTGTGTTTTTCCCTCCTGAGTGATGTGCCACCGAACTTTGGACGCCCGAAATGGGTTCGGAAATGGGTACAATGTCCAACAACAAATGTTGTCCCAAACCAACCGCGGCCGCTGTTGGGCAGGCGGCCTTCTGTCTCAAAAGGGCACAAGCCGCCGCGCCGCGGACAGCGAGTCCTGCTCAAAAAGAGCAAGAACTGCTGCTGGGCATTGCGCCCGTTCTTTTCGTACCCATGTCGTTCGCGCCGACGAACGAGGTTCGACTGGGGTCCATGGGGCGCCGGCTTCCCGGGCGGTGGATGCGTGCCAGTATTGGCCGGCCTCGCACCCCGTGCGCGGCGCCGCGTCTCCTCCAGCAGGACCCGGTAGCAGGACTCGGGGCCCACGTCGGCGAGCTTCACCTTCGGGGGGCCAAGCTCCCGGACAGAACTCGAGGAGGAGAGAGCCACACAGAAGACATACACTGTGGGCGCTCCGCGCGGCGCGCCAGACGTTCATGTCTGCGTGGTTCGGTTCTTCCTCTAGCGCGTGCCGGCCCATTCGCATTGTAGTGCCCCTGCATCGCTGCCACGCCAGAGCGCATCGCCGCGCCTCGCCGCCGACGGAAAAGTGTGTCTGGGCTTCTCGGCCCAGGCCGCGAGAGCGCTCGGGCGCCCGTCGGGCTGCTCCGGAGGGCCCACGGGCAGGCACCAGCACACACACACGCACACACACACGCACACACACACACACACGCACACACACGCAAACACACACGCACGCACGCACGCACGCACGCACGCACGCACGCACACACACACACACACACACACACACACACACACACACACACACACACACACACACACACACACACACACACACACACACACACACACACACTTCTGCCGTACGCGGCGAGGCGGCGAAATCCGCACGGGCACCAACTAGCGAATTGGCCGGCGTGCAAGGAGGGACGGGGGCAGGCCGACGAGAGGAAGGAAGGACGCTCAGACGCCGAGGAATTCGACGATGAGCAGCCCGCGGGCGGCAACAGCCAGGCGCGCCGGGCCAGGGCGCGGTGGGCGAACGTGGCGAAGCACCAACATACACGCACCGCCTGCAGAAACAGCGGCGTGCGCTTCGCCGTCGGCGAGCTCCACTTCGTGGGGCCCAGACGAGGACCAGGCCAGGAGGTCCGAGGATCGCAGCTTCGCGGCAGCGTGTAGATTACATCGCTCTCCTGCCTCCAGAAGTCTCCGGGGGCTTCCGGGACATCGGGAGGCCTCTGCGGCACCTGCGGAGGGCATCCGGGGACGACCTCTGCAGGGGCCCTGGGAGGACCCAGGCCTCCGACGCCGTGCTCCTTTTCTTCGGGCCCACCCCTGACTCTGGGTCTGCCGTAATTTGGTTGACCTTCCAACCCAAACCTGTGTCGGACATGCACCCCGGACACGCGAGAAAATATGGCGGAACCTGCCGCCTCAGAATGGGTAGGGCGGATCGGATATTTCCGCGCAAAGGCAGGGCGGGAACAGCGATGGCCAAGTAGAGCGGAAATCGGCATTAAAGGAGCTTGAAAAGCAGGGCGGGATTGTCCGCCCTGCTGACGAAGTCGCACACAGCACCAGCGGATCCGAAGTCAGGGCGAGGGAGTACCTCCCCCGCCCCCCCAAGGGAGCTCTGGGGGAGCTCTGGGGCCCACGTCGTCGTCGTCGTCCTCCTCCTCCTCCTCCTCCTCGTTCTCCTACTCGTCCTCCTCGTCGTCATCGTCGGCGTCGATATCGGCGTCGGCGTCGGCGGCGTCGTCGTCGTCGCCCCCACGAGGGAGGGTGTCGAGAGCTCTCGGGCCCACGTTGGAGAGCGCCACCTCGTGGTTGGTGAGCTTCTGCATGGGGGTCTCCCAGTCCTCGCGGATGGAGCCCAGGAGCTCGCGGGTGGGCGGGGGCCTGAGCCTCTCGCTGTACTTGACGAAAAAGTGCGGGCCTCGCACGCCGTACTCCCCGCTCACCTCGGAGGGCCATGGCCCGATGCTGTTCCTTACCGCTCCGAGGTAAGAGACGGCCCACCTCCTCAAGCTTCGACGACTTCGGTGTGCGTTCCACCAGGTCTGAGAGCCTGTTGGCCAGTACCACTCTGAAAGGGGACGGGCCAACTTCTGGGCCTCGACGACTTCGACGCGCGTTTCACGAGGTCCAGGAGGCCATCCGCCACTGCCACTCCTGTAGGGAGGAGACGGGCCACATACTTCTCCGACTTCCACGCGCGCGACTCGAGATCTCAAGGCCGCCCGTCTCCTATCTATAGATCCGGCCACCTGATTGTGGGGCCATCACGCTGCGAGGCGGAGGTGTTCCAGTTCCCCGCAGCAGTCCCAGTTCCCAAGTGCTAGTCACACATGCTGTCTTTCCCGGTTCCATGGTTGTTGTAGTGATTGATCGCCGCGCACCTCCCCAAGCCACACCCCCTGGTAAATAACACAATACGTAAGCTCCCGGCTCCACAACCCTTTGCGAAGCGCCGCGAAGTTGCACCCCCGAAGCCAGAAACCCCCTGTAGATTGCAACGCGGTGGCGCCCGTGGCGCTCCCGAGGCCACAGGCTGCTGCGAGTTGCAGCAGGCCACGCCCCGCCAGGCTCGCGCTCCCGAGGCCAGTCCGTCCTGCAAGAGACAACCAGCTGGCGCCCTGGAAGCGTCCGTCCATCGAAGAGCACTACGCGCCGGCGCCCCCGAGGACACAGCCCCTTGCAAACTGCGACAGCTGTTGCCCCCGAAGCCACACACACACACACACACACGCAAACTGCAGCGCGTTGGCGCCCCCGGCGCCAGAGTTCTTTTTGTTGTGCACTAACCCCCGGCTGGCGCTCCCCAGTCTACACCCCCTGGTAGAGTACACGAGACTCGTGCTCTCAAGGCCAGAATCCATAGCAAATGGCGACGAGCCTGGGCCCCCGAAACAACAACCCAGTGTAAGGTAATGCGCCCTGGCGCTCCCGAGGCAGCAATCCTTTGCACATTACGCCGAACTCGGGCTCCCCAGGCCACGATCCCTGGCAAGCGAAGCCACAATCCCTCACAAGTCCCCGGAACCACAACTCATCGCAAGTTTCTACGCGCTGGCGCTGCCGAGACCACACTCCCTAGTAAATTACGCCAGCCTCACGCTCCCCAAGCCACAAGCCCTGCTTGCGTCAGGCTTGCGAGGCCACAGCTATTGGTTTAAATGGTACCAAGCTTACGTTCCCGAAGCGACGATCCACTGTAAAGTGTTACGCGTTGGGGCTGCCGATGCCACCATCCTTTTGTAACTCACGCCAACCTCGCGCCCCCCAAGCCACACTCCCTGGTAAATTGCATCAGGTTCGCGTTCCCGAGGACACAACCTCTTGTAAATGACCACAAGATTGCGCCTCCGAAGCCGCAGTAAGTTGAAAATTACTGCGCGCTCGCGCTCCTGAGGCCACAGCCCTTTGTGAGTGTCACTAGGCCCGCGCCCCCCCAAGCCACAATCCATGATACACTGCGCCAGGCTCGCGCCCGCGAGGCAACATGACGACGCCTCTGGGCCCCCGAAGCCTCAATCCTTCATGCGTCGCGACGCGTTGGCGGCACTCCCGAGACCACTCCCAGCACGCCACTCCGGAGCAGAACAGCTTACATATCCTGTGTTGGGACGTGTCGCGGGGGACGTCGCCCCCACCCCACCGCCGTTTCCCGAGAATTCGGCCCGGGGGGGCCACGGATCCTCGCTACCAGTGCTGCCTGCGCGCTCCCGAAGCCTCAAACCCTCATGATCCTCCATGGAAGCGCGCTCCCGAGGCCACCACCCCTCGCTCAAGGGCACAGCCAGCTAACGGCCCAAACCAATGGCCCATCCTCAGCTCAGACCGCGAGCTGATGCCACCGCGCCTTCGGCACGCAGTGGGGTGCTCCAAGGCTCACGCAGCCCTGAGAGGCAGAGGGCTCGTATCGGGCGGGCGGCAATTGGGGGGTGACCCAAACATGGGGGGTAAAGAACAGGGCCAGGGCCCCTTTTGTGCACCCACTGGCTCTGAAGGCCCCCTTCCGCGCCCTTCTCTTCCCCCCCCCCCCTTCGGGTCACCCCCCGTTACCACCCGCCCGAGTGTAGGGGGGCCCAGGCACCCGGCCTCTTGAGCGCTCTTGGGCGCCGCGGGGGGTTCCCGCGTCTGCCTCCGGGGCGGCCTCCCCCCCCCCTCGCCCAGGAGGGCTCCCAAACTGCTTCTCCAGAGGCTGGGCGCGCGTTGGTCGGGGCATGCATGACCGACCTGGCTTCAGATGGCCCCTGGGATCGTCCTGGAGCCCTCTTGGGCTGAGCGCCTCTTGGGCCGTTTTGGAGGCCCTGGAGGGCGCCCAAGAGGCCAACACCGTCACAGTCCATTGGTTTTGTTGGTTTTCGCATTGCCGCCTTTTCGGTCGTCAGGGCGTCCAAGACAATCCAAGAGGCGCCCAAGCTCGCCCCCCAAAACGACCCAAGAGCGCCCAAGAAGGGCCAAAGAGGCCACCCGGAGGGCCTAAGAGGGGCCTAAGATTTAGGAACACGGAATTACATTTTGAGCCCTCCGCCCCAAGAGGGCCCCGAGATTCCCCCCACAAGCCCCCGAGGTGCGCCCAAGAGTCCCCAAGAGGCCCCCAAGAGGCCCTGAGAGGCCCAAATCAGGCCACAAGAGGCCCCGAAGGCGCCCCGAAATACCATCAAAACCGCCACCAAGAGGCATCCGAGAGGTCTCTCAAGAGATCTTCACAGGCATCCAGGAGGCCTCTGACCTACAACCCCGGCACGGTGGGGCATGGGCCGAATGCCACTAGATCCGCCGCCCCCTGTCGATTTCATCGCAAAGGTGACTGGCGTGCTGAACCCTATCGATGTTGGTTTTGGTTCTTTTTCCCAAAGAACTCCCCCTGGGGCTTCGGCCCGTCCCGCCAGGGTCCCGCGAGGATCTTCCAGGAGCTCAATTCCCCCCAAAATCCTCCAAGACGGCTCAAGATGGTCTCCAAGATAGTCCAACATGGCCTGCAAGTCCGACAAAGATGGCCCAAGATGGCGTCCAAGTCCGCCCAAGCTGGTCCAAGACGGCCTCCAAGACGGCCTCAGAGAGTCCAATATACCTCCAAGTTCGCTCAAGAAGCATCCAAGACGGCCCAAGAGGCCTCCAAGAGGTCCTCCAGGAGGGCCCGAAGAGGCCAAACTCATAGATTGTCCTAAGGTTTTTGAAGGATTTGGGTATTTGCTCCTTTTGGGCTCTCCGACGACCCAAGACGGCCCAAGAGGCCCCCAAGATCCCCCCCACAGCGCCCAAGAGGCCTCCAAGCTGGCCTCAGGACTGCCCAAGAGGCCCGCAAGACAGCCCGAAGAGGGCACAAAGACGACCCAAGAGGCCTCCAAGACGCCCAAGATGGCCTCCAAGACGGCCCTGGAGCACCCCAAGTCGGCCCAGAAAGGCCCCCCAAACGGCTTCCGACGGCGTCAGACGGGCCAGATGGCTAAAGTTGGCTCGAAGCTGGCCCAAAACGGCACATGAGGCCTCCAAGAGGGCCTCCAGGAAGGCCAGACAAAGGCCAAAAAACATTGAATTGCCTTAGGTTTTCGAAGGATTGTGATTGCTTCTTTTCGGCCCTCCAACGGGCCGAGGCGGTCCAAGAGCGCCGAAAGATCGCCCAAAGACCGCCCAAGAGGCCTCCAAGATGGCCCCAGAACGGCCCAAGAGGCCCCCAAGACGGCCCCAAGAGGCCCCCAGGACGGTCCAGGAGGCTCTGAAGACACCCAAGATGACCTCCAAGAAGGCCCTGCAGCATTCCAAGAGGGCCCCAAGTCGGCCCAGAGGGGCCCCCCAAATGGCTTCCGACGGCGTCGGACGGGCCAGGAGCCCACCAGAACGGCCGAAGATGGCCCTAAGATGGCCCAAGACGGCCCAAGAGGCCCCCAAGAGGGCCTCCAGGAAGGGCCGAAAAGGCCCAAATCATGGATGCCCCATGAGTTTTTGAAGGGTTGTGGCATTTTTTCTACCTTCCGACAGCCCGAGACGGCCCAAGTGCCCCCCAAAAATCGCCCAAGAGGCCCCCAAGACGGCCTAGGAGGCCCCCAAGACGGCCCAAGAGGCCTCCACGCTCAAGATGGCCTCCAAGACGGCCCAAGAGCCCTCCAAGACGTCCTCGAAGAAGACCCGAAAGGGTCAAAATGGCCTCCACACGGCCAAGATGACCTTCAAGATGCCCACGTGTTCCCCGAAGGCTTTCCAAACCGATTCGGGGAACACATGGTCCGATAGCTTGGCAGGTCTGGCCTCAACGTTCGGCCACAGAGGCGCTTCCAAAGGGGCAGGGGGCGGCGGTGATTCGCCGTAGGCGTTTTCGATCCGCCGCCCTCTGTTGGCTTGCCACATAGGTGCCTGGCGTGCTGGATCCTTTCGGTTTTGGTGTTGGTTCTTTCCCCACAAAAAAAAACTCCCCAAAACTCCCCCTGGGGCTCAGGCCCAGCCCGCCTGCTACCCGAAAGGCTCCCAATTCCCGGACAAAATCTCCGAAAACGGCTGCAGATGGCCCAAGATGGCCTCCAAGATACCCCCATGGTGGCCAAGATGGCCTCCGAGACGGCTAAGATGGCCCCGAGATGTCTCCAAGACTGCCCAAGATGTACCGAAGAAGGCCTAAGGTAGTCTCAAGATGACCCGAGATGGCCCAAGAGGCGCCCAAGAGGCCTCCAAGACTGCCCAAGAAGCGTCCAAGACGTCCACCAGGAGGGCCCGAAGAGGCCAAAATTATCAGTTTGCCTTCGGTTTTTGAAGGATTTTGGCATGTGCTTCTTTTCGGCCTTCCGACGGCCCGAGACGGCCCAAGAGGCCCCCAAGATCGCCCCAAGATCACCCACGAGGCCTCCAAGATGGCCCCAGAACGATCCAAGAGGCCCCGAAGACGGCCCCAGGAGGGCCCCAAGACGGCCCAATAGGCCTCGAAGACGCCCCAAATTGCCTCCAAGACGGCCCTGGAGCACCCCAAGAAGGCCCCAAGTCGGCCCAAAGAGGCCCCCAAGACGGCTTCCCACGGCGTCAGAAGGGCCAGGAATGCCCTAAAACACCAAAGAGGCATCCGAGAAGCCCCGAAAGGCCCCCAAGAGGCCCAAGGAAGCCCCAAGATGCCTCCAAAAGGCTCCCAGATAGCTCCCAGGAGGCCCCAAGAGTGCTCCCAGAGGCTTCCAGGATGCCCCCTCCTCCTCCTCCTCCTCCTCCTCCTCCTCCTCCTCCTCCTCCTCCTCCTCCTCCTCCTCCTCCTCCTCCTCCTCTTGATCTGCCCCGCCATCCTCCCCCAAGTGTTCCCCGAAGGGTTTCCACAACGGCTGGGGGAACACATGGCCCGATAGCTTGGCAGAGCTCTTGCCACATCGCTCGGCCACATAGGCGATTCCAAAAGGCAGGGGGTGGCGGTGATTCACCGTAGGCGTCTTCGATCCGCCGCCCCCGGTTGGCTTGCCACGGAGATGCCCGGCGTGCTAAACGTCTGAGGGGGTGGTTTTGGTTCTTTTCCAAAAAGAACTCCCCTGGGGCTTCGGCCCAACGCGCCGGCCACCAGGAAGCCCGCGCCGCTGCGCAACCAACGTCTACAAGACGGCTCAGATTGCCTCCAAGATGGTCAAGATGGTCTCCAAGTTCGCCCAAGATGGTACAAGATGGCCTCCAGGACGGCCCGAGAGGGTCCGAGATACCTACGAGTGCGCCCAAGAGGCTCCAGGAAGGCCCGAAGAGGCCAAAATCATTGATTGTCCTCAGGTTTTGAATGATTTTAGCATTTGTTTCTTTTCGGCCTTCCGACGGCGCGAGACGGCCCAAGAGCCCCCAAAGACCGCCCCAAGATCGCCCAAGAGGCCTCCAAGATGGCCCCAGAACGGCCCAAGAGGCTCCCAAGACGGCTCCCAGAGGGCCCCCAGACGGCCCAAGACCGCTCAAAAGGCCTCCAAGATGCCCAACATAGTCTCCAAGGCGGCCCTGGAGCACCCCAAGAGGGCCCCAAGTCGGCTCTCAGAGGCCCCCAAGACGGCTTCCGACAGCGTCAGACGGGTCAGGAATGCCCTAAGACGACCAAAGAAGCCCCCGAGAAGCCCACGAAGGCCCGCAAGATGCCCAAGGAAGCCCCAAGATGCCTCCAAGAGGCTCCCAGGAAGCTCCCAGGAGGTCACAGAGTGCCCCCCAGAGGCTCCCAAGATGCCCCCTTCTCCTCCTCCTCCTCCTCCTCCTCCTCCTCCTCCTCCTCCTCCTCATCCTGATCTTCGCCGCCTTCCACCCCCAAGTGTACCCCGGAGGGTTTCCACAACGGCTGGGGGAACACATGGTCCGATAACTTGGCAGAGCTCTTGCCACAACGCTCGGCCACATGGGTGATTCCCAAAGGCAGGGGGCGGCGGTGATTCACCGTAGGCGTCTTCGATAATACTGGCGAGGAGATGGCCCAACTTCCAAGCTTTGACGACTTCCACCCGCGTTCCTCGAGGTCTGAGATGCCATCCGTCTTAGCGGTGAGTCAAGCGAGAGCTTCGTCCTGAGGAACCCCGGGGAAGGAACGACGACCCTCTCCGGCCCCAGAAGCGCCAGGGTGCGCGACAGCTGCCTGCCTGCGTTTTAGTTGCTCCCGGCGCAGAGCAGCCGAACGCCTCACCCGCAGGCACTGCCTACCACCACAGCGAAGCTGCTCCGCGGGGCGAGGCGGAGGAACGCAGGGCGGCCGCCGAGCCGCGACGTCTACTAGCCAACGTGCTGCAAACACGAGGGAGGTGCCCGGAGGCGCGAGGAGCGCGCCGGACCCCGGGGGGGCAGCGGGCCCCCTCCCGAGGCCAAGGCGGGCGTTCCCTCCAAGCTGTGGCTGCAGTGGGGGAACCCTGGGAGACAAGGTCGCGGCCTTCGGGACGGCTCTCCACGCTTCTCGTCGAGGAGCAAAGAGAGCACAGGCATCTATACATATTCGGGGGTGCGCGCGGAGTTCGCGGATCGACGCCGGAGCCCCCTGGCGGCGCCTCTGGCGCCGGTCCGAGAAGGCAGCGCGGACCTGCGAAGGTTTAGGCGTACGCGCCGCTGTTTCTTCCTCGATCTCGGGCCCGAGCATCCCCGGCCGCGCCCTCCCCGACCATCTCGCCGAAGAGCTTGTGCAGCCAGAAGAAGCCGAGGTCGGGGCGCGAGGCCGACGAGGCCGACCAGTGGTCCGTGACTCGTCGCAGCCACCCGGTGGTGAGATCAGGCAGCAACAGGTGAACCCTGCAGCCCTCCGCAAAGCTTCGAGCAGGTCTTGCCCGCGCGCTGTCTGCGCGCACGCAGAGCCCCCCCCAAAGCTGCCACTGGTGAGGCCGTGACGAGCGGTTTCGTATTTTGCGGCGGCGTCCGCAGACCGCGCCGCGCGCGCCACTGAAAATTGAAACTGGGGGGACCAGGGGGAGCGGCAACACTTGCTGGAGGTTTCACGAAGGGATGTGCCCGACGCAGCCCTCCTCCTCCTCCTCCTCCTCCGCCTCCTCCTCCTCCTCCGCCTCCTCCTCGTCCTCCTCCTCCTCCTCTTATCCTCTTCTTCTGCTGATTATTCTTATTCTTCTTCTTCTTCTTCTTCTTCTTCTTCTTCTTCTTCTTCTTCTTCTTCTTCTTCTTCTTCTTCTTCTTCTTCTTAATATTTTCATTCCTCATTCCTCCATCGGCCGTGGGGCGTCAGCGCCCCGCCACGGCTCGCCTGCGCCTGCGCGCGGGCCCCTGCGCACAAGGGCTGAGCAGGCCCCATTCCCGAAGGCCTGACCCACAGGAAAACCGGCCTCGGTGCCCCCTCACCGGGCCTCTCAGGCGTCGCGGGCGCGACCCTCCACGACCTCGCCGCCCATCGCAACGCCCGTGTAGGGGTTGCGCCCATCCAGCAATCGGTCTCGGCGTCGGCGCCGCGCCTGGTCCCTCGGGGCGTTGGTGAGCTTGCCTGTGCAGCCATCCAGGGCCCGTCGAGCTCGGCACCTGTAGAACGCCCCGCACACGCGGCACACCACGAAGTCGCCGGCCGTCACCCAGCGGTGCTCGCGCGTAGGGGCGGGGGGCGGCCGCGGCGCGTCGGGGCGCCCAGGGCGGGGCGAGCCTTCGCCGCCGTCACCGCCGCCGTCGCCCACAGCGCCCCGCCTCGGAGGCGTCGGATCGCCCTGCCGGCGCCGCCGCGCCTGCCGATTTGCTCGCGCGGCCTCCACCTCGGCCTCAGGTCTGCACTCCTCGCGGCCCAGCTTCCGCTTGCCCGCCTGCGTGCGGCAGTGGGCCTTGCAGTGGCGGCAACGCCACGTCGTCCCGTGGAGGACCAACTCGTGACCACGATGGACTGGCGGGCGACGTCCAGCATTCCCCTGATGCCGCGGCCCCCTCCTCTCGGCCACTGCTGTGGCGACCCCCGCCAACAGCACGCGAAAACTTGCCGCGTACTCCATAACCCGCTTGATCTGCCTGCTGCGGGATTTGGCCAGGGCCACCGCCCACTCGGGGACCGGGCACTGGGCGGCTCCTTGCTTCGCCAGCTTGTCCACCGCATCGTTCATGCGGTAGCGCTCCTGGTCCACCTCGCCCATCTTCGCCCGATGCTTCTGGGACGTGTGGGACTTGACCTTCACCACCGCCAGACTGACGCCAGGGCTGAGGTCGCGCTCGTCCAGCAGGTCCCAGATCCAGGTCCATAGGTGCGCACAGAGGACCGCGCTGTTGCAGCAGCGGGCACGCCCCGACAACAGCCCGTCAACGGCCGCCTGGTTGTCTAAGAGCACCTCGGTCACCAAACCCGCGTGCTGCAGCATCATTGCCAACGCCCACAGCTCCGCGACGAGGCTGCTCGTTGCCGGTACGGGGAGGGGGCCCCACAGGCCTTGTGCGAGCTCGCCCCGCTCGAACATCACGACCGCCCAACCGCCCGCGCGAAGGCGGACCCAGCTCGGATTGACCACCGAGCCATCTGTAGCCACTCTCCCGTCGAATATCCCTGGGCCGTCCATGCGCCCCCAGTGCTGCTCGGCGGCTGGCAGCTTCCAGTTGACACCGATAGTTGGGTCGGCCATGAGTCCACATGTCCACAGCCATTCGTCCCTCGCGGAGGCGCCGAGGTGCACCGCGTCGCGGAAGTTGGCGGGGTCATAGTGGTCTGACAGCTTCGCCCTCGCCTCCTGGCACTGGGGCGCCGCGCACCGCCAGTAGAGGTGCATGTTGCTGCCTTCCTCCTGCCCGCACAGAGGGCAGTCTGGGCTCTCCGCCCTGCCCTGTGCGAAGAGGGCCCGCTGCTCCGGGTAACCGCCCAGCGTTGCCACCTTCGCCGCATTGCGGTGGTGCTTGGTCCAACCCTTCGCCAATTGTTTCTTCTGCAACTGGCGGAGCGGCGCCAGCCAAGGCCTCGGTCTGAGCACCTCGCGCCCGCTGCTCGCCACCCAGGTGTCAAGCTTGACGCCGCTCAGGGTCTCCTTAGCCCGCGCCGCCACCTCCTTCGGACACTCGCGCAACATGTCGATGACTCGGGCGCCTTGTGCGTCTGGCAACAGCTCGGGCCGTCGCAGGCCCACGGCCGCCGAGTTGCCTGGCGGCGCGGAGGCCCCTGGCGCGCTGCCGTCGTCCCCGGGCCCCCCCGGATTCGTGTCGATGGTGTGGTAGTCTACCATCCGCCAGCCCAGCTCGCGGCGCGTGAGAATGGTGCCGCCGCAGGCCCTCGCACGGCCGCCCACCGCTCCTTGCTGGTGGTATCGCCCTGCAGGTACGGGGCCAGACGTCGTTGCTGCCGTGCCCACGCGCGCTGCAGGCCCCCGTGCATGCTCTTGTGGTCCCAGCACTCCTTCGCCCAAACCAAGAGTGGGGCTGTTGCCACCGTCTCGGCCACGAGGTCGCCCTCCAGCGCCGCGTTGATCGTGGCCGAACGGAAGGGGCCTGACCCCGCCCTGGACGCCTTGAGCTTGGCCGCCAGGAAGTGCTGGATGCGCGGTGGGGTGCCTTCGCACGTAGCCCCGTAGGCCAAGGAGGGGGCGACCCCCTGGGACACGAACCTGCGCACGTTGATGCCCCTTCGCCGGAGCCACGCGGCCTTCCTCCACCTGTGCCTCGCGGTTGCCAGCCGCTTCTGCCTGGTGGGCCTGCTCTTGCGATTCTGCTGCGGGTTGTAGTCAATGCCCAGCCATCGCTCCACGCTGCCCTCCTTGATGCCGAGCTCCAGCATCGGTGCCTGCAGCAGGCCCCTGGCCTCTTCGGTGCTGGCGACGAAGACGCACTTGCCCTCGGGGCCCCGCGCTAGCGGAAGCCCCAAAGCCTGCTCCAGGAGCACGATGAGGAAGCGCAGAGCTCGCATCACCTCACGCCTGAGGTGCGGTGCGGAGTGCATCAACCGCAGCGTGATGTCGTCCACGTACAGGATGAGCTGCGCTAAGGGGCACCCCTTAAGTACCAGGCCCAAGGCCCAGAACATGAACACCTTCAGCAATTTATTCAAATACTTCGATCCTGCCGGCAAGCCAACCAAGGTGGTGACGGCGTCCGCCACTGCCCCCTCCCGTCGCAGGTAGCGCGGAGCCGAAAAGGCCTCCAGCGCGAGGCCGACGAGGTCGAGAGGGCACCGCATGATGATGGCAAAGGCCCACAGCAGGTTGAGGGACACGTGCTCGTACGCCTTCGTGACGTCCAGCATGACGCTGGTCGAGCAGAAGCCGCTATCCCCCCAGGCCTCGTCGTCCAGCATGACGCGCCAGACCGCCTGCTCGCTGCTCTTCCCTGGGGCCGCCCAGTCGTAGTCCCTGCTGTTCTCCGCCTCCCAAGCCTCGAGGATGTGGGCGCGGCTGCCCTCCCAGATGCGGGCGGGCGTGGGCAACAGGCAGATCGGCCTTCCCCCCCCGTCCGTCTTGCCCAAGATGAAGATCACCAAGAGCCGAATGCTTGTGGGCCATGCGCGCAGCTGCTCGCACCACTCCAACATCACGCCCAAGTACTCGAGCAGGTCGTCGCTAAGCCAGCTCCAGTGTCTCGGGTGCCAGCCGATGACGCCCGCGCGCTCCTTGTAAGCCCTGCAGATCTTGCGCACCCGCGCGGTGTCGATGGTGCCGAGGCTGCGGCCCTGGCCCACCCAGAGCTTGGCGTACGGGCCCTGCTCCGCCTGCCACACGGCACCCCACTCCTTTGCCTCCTGCTCGACCGCCTGCTGGGGGTGAGCAGGGAGAGCAGCCTTGCTGACGGAGCCCCGCGGTGGGAGCCACGCAGCACGCCACGCGCAGACCTTGTGCAGCAGGCCCGCCGAGCCCGGATATTTCTCGTCGAGCTTCTCACGGAACTTGCGGCTCCTATCCCTCATGACGGCCACCTCCCACTCCTGCGCACGTGCCTTCGCCGCCTCCTTGATGCCCTCCAACGCGCGGATGACGTCCACCGTGAGGGGCACCTCCAATCAATGCCTTGAGGTGGTGGCCAATCCCGTCCATGAGTGCCCAATGATGCACAGACGCCTGCAACCTGACGACCGCCGCCTGGTACTGCTTGACCTGGACGCTGCCGTCTACCTCATCGCCGCTCCGTCTTTCCAGCACTGGCGGGGACCCGGCAGGCAGGCCCCGCCTCACGACGTGGATGGCCGCCACGCCAATCCACGAGAGCTCCACCGACAGCCACCGCCATGCCCATGCGGGGCCTCTGCTGTTGACCGCGCTCGGGCACTTTGGAAGGAGCTCCTTCTCAACCAAGCGTGGCGCCTGCCCTCGACCCTTATACTTCGAGGCCCGGAGGTCCGACATGCCGAAAATGGTCTGGAGCTGGCTGTCGGCGGTGTCGCAGAAGACCGACCACGCTGCGTCCAGGCCGTCTTTCGACGGCGTGCCCGTGAGCGGCGGGACAGGTGGGTGCTGCACCTCTGCCTGCTCCTCCTTCGTGCCTGGTCGCTTGAGGGGCCACTGCCATGGCTCCTCCAGCTGCTTCACGATGAACGCCTTCCAGGGCGCTGTGGACTGCATCACGCACGGCCGGTGCGGCCTGAACGGCATCTCCACGTGCGGAGTGACCTCCCCAAAGGCCTGCCCGAGCTTGCAATCTAGCCAGAAAAAGTCGATGGTGCTGTGGTCGCCCTGGCTGTTTTTGCAGGCGCCCTCCGGGTGGGCAGTGGCCTTGATGCAGCCTCGCAGCTCCTGGTTCCATGGGCTGCGCTCCAAGTCATCTGGACGGTTGTTCCAATCACCGCCAACCACCCACGGGATCCGTAGCTGGATGACCCACTCGGCGATGACGTCCAAGATCTG